CATAATTGTTATTTAGGTCGGTTTAATATCTCATATTACTATGTAATAAAATTATTGGATAGTAACGATAAAATCGGACTGAAAACCGATAATATATAATTATTATGTTAGCGTGATTTGATATTTCACAACCCATTTTATAAATTCGAATGACGATTTATAAATTTACAAAATTGGTTAAATTCTGCACCATATAAGCTACATTTGCACAATATGTTAATATTATAACGTCAGTATCGAATAAAATAAAATAACGATAATATTTAATTCATGTTTTCGTATATGAAACCAGTTCAAATGAGGTAATTATTTATTATTTCATACAATACTTTTATAAGCCAAAGTTACGATAATTCTGTCATATTAATATAATTCTAGCCGGCATTGCTTAATTCCGGGATTGCTATTCCATATATTAAATTTAATTGGTTTATAATTTTCGTCCCCCCTTCCACTAGTTTCATTTTTTTTTTAAAAAAAATTGTAATTCAAATATTTATAGAAAACAAGAAAAAAAATCGCCCTACTATTTAGAATCCCTTCAAGTAATTAAACAGAATCATAAATCATGATGGCGGGAAAATATCTCAAATATTAACAACTATAATTAAATTTCTATAACCGAATACGTTCAGAATGTTAATAAATAAAAAATTACTTAATTGATTCTTGATACAGCAAAATATTAATAATGAATAAAAGGGCAAATTAATATCAGATATACTGTAGTAATTACTCCCATTTCTGTCAGTATTCAATTGAGAAATATCAGCATCATGTAAAGATAAAGTTGCTAATAACAAAGAAAGGTTTATTAATTATTTTATAATACAATTATTTTAAATATTGCTTTGTTAAGAAATACTGTACCTGGATATTCCGTGCCAATTATTTAGTAATTACTTAATAAAGCGTCGAGAAATATCAATTTGTAAAGATGAAGACGCTATTTAATAAATAAAGATCATGAGTACTCTTTGCAAATAATTCTGTAAACTAATACCTGAGAATTCCATTCTAATTGTATTATTATCTTATTTATAATAAGTATTTTTAGGTTTTGAAAAAATATCAATTTTCAACTGAGAATTAGGATTCTGTAATGACTCTATTTAAATGAATAAAACTTAATTAATATTTATAGTCTCAACATTATTCTAGTATTTTTCTTTAAAATACAAGCTATAAACAATACCTAAAAATTCTTATTGAGAAATATTAATTTGTAAGGACTCCATTTAAAAATTAAGTGACCTACTACATACCCACATTCATTATTTAATAATCTCAGTTCCCACGCTGCAAAAATAGAATTTTTACAATTTCTAAATTTTGTAAATTTATAAACCGTAAAAAAAATGTTTGTGAAACGTGCCTCAATTCAGATCACGTTAATACAACAATATAATGTAACGACGGTGATGTGATGTAATAATCATTTATAATATTGTTATTGAGTAATATCGTTTAACCGATTTTTAACAATAAAAACACCATTTATTAATTATACTATTAATTATACACGAGCATCTTTTTCTTTAATACAATGCATATAAATAATGTATAACGTTATTTTAATTTAATTTCCTAGATTTTATAGACCGAAGCGCCCGGTATGGAGAGATTGTTGGTGCTTGACGCCATCAATTTCAATGTATTTCTATTATTTATCATATATTATGTTTTCTTTTACACTTTACTTAATAAAGAATGTGTTTACGCGAGTTGTCAAAAAAAAAAAAAAAAAAAAAAAAAATTCCTAGATTTTAATGCGATCAAAATAAAAAAAATATTTTTTTATCTTAAAAAAGAAATCGCCTTTAGAATATTGTAAGAAGTGGAGGCCCGTAACGGAAAAGATGCAAGTTACTCAAAACGTATAATCAAACTTTCAGTACTAAATTGAAAATATTTAAGAAATATATAGTTTTTAGTGAAATTGTCGCAGTTTTCAAAATGATTTATGCAGTTATATTTGAATAATAATAATAAAAAAGAAACCCGAAAACCGGACGATAATTGGATGAATATTGATATTCGAATATATAGGAATTTGTAAAAATTATAAAAAGTATAGCGATAAAACTTAATTTATGAACTTTTTATAATAATTTAAATATTTTAAATTAAATTGAAGAATATTAAACGATCAAAAAGAACAATGTATTTTAAGGAAATATCCATATGTTTAAGAAATTTGTTTATTGAATATTTCTGTTCGAATCATGTTTTTACTATGATTAAGAATTATTACACGTATAAAATCCAATAATAAAATTTTTGGCAAAAAAACCTAAACTTTACTTTCATTTACTCAATATTGAAATTTTTTTAAGATCGATGGTTTTCATTTTTTATTAGATAAACACAGATTAATAAATATTATTATCCTTATGCCCTTATGATTAAAATAAAATTTACATACCGAACTGTGATTATTCCGGAAATAGGATACACCGGGAATATACTGGGAACGAAACTCGTTATGATATTTAAAACTATTTAAAACACAGAAACTTTTTTATAAACCTTTACTTATAACCTGTTCACACGCAAGAAATAGTTAGCAATATCAGTCATATGATTAAAATATACTTTTCGCGGAACACTAGCTTTCTATGGATTATCTTATTGAGTTTAAAATATACTTTTCTAAACTGGTAAACCGGTGTATACATAGCACTGATTACTTGGTATTTTGCAGTCCTCTAACTCCTCTAACATCGAGTGCTGTGATTTTCTCACCCGCCGCGAGTTTAATTTGATTTGATCCGAACTTTTCCAAATTCGGAACTCTAGATTATCTTATTGAGTTTAAAATATACTTTTCTAAGCCGGTAAACCGGTATATACATAGCACTAATTAGTTTGTATTTTGCCGTCCTCTAACTCCTCTAACTTCGAATTGCTGTGATTTTATGCGGGCAACTACCTATTTTGGGCTACTCCCCGTTCCAATCAATTTGATTAACTCTCATCGTAAACTGCGAACGATACTCTGCTTTTATCTCCGCTCATTCACTTTAATTTATAAAAAGATGTAGAGTAAGTTAGAATTTGAATTTTTACGTTGTAATTTAACTTTGTAATTTTTAATATTATTTCTAATATTTTTTATTCATCATGTCTGATATTAATACTGACTGTGACTTATATTCTCGAGAAACTTGCGAAAATATCCCATATGGAAAGTATTTTGAGTTCTTTCCATATAACAAGTGGTCTCTTCACCATTACGTAACATTGGTGATTGACAGTTATGAGTTGGCTGAAAAAGAGAAAGCCCATCGCGTCTTCTACAAAATATTAGAAGATATCATAAACAATGAATCTCTAGCAGAAGAAGTTCATAGTTTTGCTCAAAATCTCATTAAGAACAGTAAGGTAAGCATATTTAGGATGGGTGTCCTTAACATACAGTTGGGGAGTGTACACCCGTTTAAAACAATTAATTTGCTTTGGTGGGGCTTTTAGCCAGGTGCTCTGTACCTGCTGGCTGCGTCCTGGTGGGAAGAATACAAGTACTGAAATGGATGCGTTTATTACCTGCGCCATAGTAAACATGTGGAAAATATCATTATAATTTATTAGTAAAAAATCTGTTGATTCTGTAGCAGGATTCGGCTATGCATATTTTTTTGCGTTATTAAAGAATTATAATTGATATATTCCTGCATTCACCATCAAATCTTGTTTTTTGTTTGATGTGTTTACTGGGAAATATTTATCACCTAGTTTTGCTTTCTATAGGGTGATGTTAAAAAAGCAAATAGCTTGTGGCAAAAAGCTAGCACGAAAGTGAAGATGCCACCATCACTGCCGGCACCACAACTGTCATTATCATCACCATCATCACCATCATCACCATCATCACCATCACCATTATCATCACCATTACCATCATCATCTACTGTTCTGGGGAAGAGGCGAGAAAATCCAAATGTAGAAAGCTCCTACTCTTCTCTAAAGAAGCAATATTGCTTCCATCCAAATGTGAGTGTACCTTTGCAAGCTGATGGATCATTAGACATACTAGGAGTTGTAAAGGCTACTGTATGTGCATTTGATCAAAAAATAATTACCCTTGGATCTTTCCGCTCTTACAAAAGTTCAGACTATTTGCTAGTAAATTCTGAAAAGAGCGTGAAAGTTCCACGGGAGAGCACATATGATGCTGAAATGTACCGAATTTTAGTAAATTGGCTTGCAAAGGTACATGACTTCGAAATAACTGGCCAGTGGCATCTAGAAGGAATTGGCAATGATGGAGATTGGCACCATTTTTATTGTGACCTTACCATAAAAAAACGATAAAATCCCTATCCTGAAGCTGTTATTGAACTTATTGCAACAGGATCCGACCCTGAACTCAGAAAACACTTTGATAAAGTGTTAAATTATGCTGACAAGCTTAAATCTCGAGAAGTATGGCTTGTGCACTTTTCTAGGGAGGATTCTGTTGCATCCTACCCATATTGGCCATGTGAACAGCTTCAGGGTAGAGGATTAAATGTTGTGCACTTTTGGCATGACATTTGTTTTACAAAGGTTTGCATGAGTGCCAAATTTCGGGATGCCACTGGCGAGTCCCAAACAATAGTAAATCAACAAATTTTACCTTAAAGAGAAGGTTCGTATAAAAAATATTAAATTTAATTGGTTTATTTAATTCAATAAAAATAAAATAAAATAAATATATAATTTGTAATAAGGAAATTACAATTTAAAACTCTATTTAATGTCATTCTCATCCCTCCTTTTAATAAATATCCACTAATTCCATTTGAAAAAAAAATTTGCAATTCAAATATTTATAGAAAAACAAGAAAAAAAAATCGGCCTACTATTTATTGCGTGATACGTAAAAAAGTTTTAATCATTCCAAGTAAACATTAAACAGAATCATACGTAAATTATAATGGCAGGAAAATATCTTGAATACTATTTAAACACAACAATATAATTAAATTTCTATAACTGAATACGGACATTCTGTTAATAATAAAAATTACTTAATAAAGCTTTGATTCTAATAGAATTATCTTTGCCTTTAGATTTGCTATTTTGACCTATAAAAAAATTGAAATTATGAGATACAGCAAAATATTAATAATGAATAAAAGGGCAAACTAATATACTGTCGTATTAAAAGTCCATTTCTATTAGTATTCAATTGAGCAAATATAAAGTTGCTAATAATAAATAGAGGGTTTATTAGTATATTACAATTATTCTAAATATTTTTTGTTAAGTAATACCTGAAAATTACGTGCTAATTATTTTATCATGCGTCAGAATTTTTAGTAATATCATGAGAAATATCAATTTGTAAAGATGAAGACGCTATTTAATAAATAAAGTTCATGAGTACTCTTTACAAATAATTCAGTTATTTTTTTTGTTAACTAATACCTGAGGATTCCATGCTAACATCTTTTTTATGATAATCAACAGAATTTTTTGGTTTGGAAAAAATATCGTCAATTTTTAACTGAGAATTAGCATTCTGTAGGTATTCTATTTAAGTGAATAAGATTTAATTAGTATTTATATTCTCAACATTCTTCTTTAAGTACAAGTTATAAACAATACCTAAAAATTCCTCGCTTATTATATTATCATTTTGCTTATAATAATCATCAGAATTTTTCGGTTCAGGAAGATTGTTATTAATATTCAATTGAGAAATATTAATTTGTAAGGACTCTATTTAAGGGATTAAAAATTATTACTTTGACACTCAATTTGAAAATTTTTTATTAATCAATACCTAAAGACTCCACGCCAATTGTATCATCATAAAATTTAAGTAATCTACTTGTATAAATAGCCTCTGGATGTATTTCATATAATCCTAAATTAGTTGAAGGTATATTGCTATCTGATAAATTATTATTAATTACTTCTGCATTTTTAATTTCCAATTGTAAATTTACTGTTTGATTGTCACTTGGCATATAATACCATTTATATAAAACTTCCTCAATTTCATTTGCTGTAGGTCGATCTGACGAATTTGCGTCTAGGCACTTTTTAATTAGATGTACAATCAACTGAGGTACTTTAATTTTAAACCTTGGTCTAAGTCCTTGACAAATTGTTATTGCTAGATTTTTATTATGGTCTACATCATGATATGGGGGCAATCCAGAAATAATTTCATACATAATTATACCCAAGCTATAAATATCAGCAGCTTTAGTATAAGTTTGGCCTCGTAAAATTTCGGGAGCAATATAAGGCAAAACACCATATATGTTGCTTATTGTATTTTCTGATGCGTTGTAATCCGCAGGTTTACATAATCCCATATCAGTTATAATAGTATCATCATCCACCAGTATATTTCCAACATGTAAATCCCGATGAATTAATTCATTATTATGAATATGTTGAATTCCACATGTAATATTAAGTAAATGATAAATCTTATCACTCCATCTTAATTTATTATAATTTATATTTAAATAATTTCGCAAACTTCCATTCTTTGCATATTCCAAAACCATTATATAATTATTTGTTTTTGGATCTTGGGTTATTCCATAAAATTCAATGATAAAACCATTATTTACTCCTTCTTTATAATGCAACGAAAACTATACATAACATAATGTATTAGTATTTATGGTATTATATATTTGATTAAAAAATTGAAATAAATTTACCTCATTCATAAATTTCAATGTAACATTTTTTGAGTTATTTAAAATTTTCAGTACTACAGTTATACCCTGATCTTTTCTTTTCCAATTCTGATTTTTGTTATCCCATTCATCTATATGTCCATCAATCCAATTTGCTTTATACACTGTACTAAACCCGCCTTTTGCAATATATTTAATGTCATAAAATCTATCAAAAGGCATCCATTCTAGCGCATTTCTTATTTCATAGACCGTATGCGTTGAAAGTTGAGTATCTTGAATAAATTTATCAATATCATTATTACCACTAGTCCAATTTTTGAAATTTTGTTGAAAACGTATTGCGTTACATACATGACTACATTTTTCTTTACATGTTGAAACTACCATATAATTTCTTGATTCTGGATCTCGAGTTATTCCATAAAATTTGTATACTGCAACCTAAAATATAATAATGTTATTAAAATTAAAGCATTCAAAATTCCATTAAATAATAAATTTATTATACCTCATTAATAAATCTTATGACATTCATATTATCTAAACTTTTCAAGATCACAAACATGTTCTGTTCTTTTCTTTTCCAATTTTGATTTTCATAATCCCATTTATCTATACATCCATCAATCCAATTTGCTTCATACATATTAGTAGACCCATCTTTTGTAATACTTTTAATATTTTTAATATTATGAAATTTATCATAAGGTATCCATTCTAATATATTACTTGTGTAACAATCTGATATCTGAGTATCTTGAATAAATTCATCAATATTATTATTGCCACTAGTCCAATTTCCAAAATTTTGTTGAAAGTATTTTGAATTACACATGCTATTGCATTTGACTTTACATGTTAAAACCATCATATAATTTTTTTTACCTGGTTTCTTGGTTATTCCTAATTTAACCTACAAATATAATAATAATAAATTAAAATTTATAATTAAAGATTTTATTAGGTAATAAATTTAGTATACCTCATTTATAAATTTTAATGCAATATTATTTGAATTTTTTAAACTTTTCAGAATTACAACCATATTTTGATCTTTTCTTCTCCATTTTTGATTTATATTATCCCATTCATCTATACATCCATCAATCCAATTTGCTCTATATACTCCATTTTCTGCAGTATTTCTAATATCACAAAATCTATCATAAGATATCCATTCTAATATATTATTTGTATAACAATTTGATAATTGAGTATTTCGGATTAATTTATCAATTTTTTTATTACAACTTGTCCAATTTTCAAAATTTCGTTGATGTATTGCATTGCATGTATTATTACATTTTTTACATATATCTTTAACAACTACTATATAACTCTTAGATTTCGGTATTCGAGTTATTCCATAAGCTTTATGATGTTTTGTAATCTACAATTAACAATACATTAAGCAAAATACCCAGAATTTTATTAAATAATAAATTTATTATACTGACCTCTTTAATAGATTTCAATGTAAAATTAGTTGAATCATTTAAATTTTTCAGAATTACAAACATATTTTGGTTTTTTCTTTTCCAATTTTGACTTTCATTATCCCATTTATCTATATATCCATCAATCCAATTTGCTCTATATTCTTTACCAAATTTGTTTCTAGTAATATATTGAGTTTTAATAAATCTATCATAAGGTATCCATTCTAGTACATTTGGTATTTTATTATCTATATGAGCTGATAATTGAGTATCTTTAATAATTTCATCAATATCACCATTACCACTGGTCCAATTTTCAAAATTTTGTTGAAAATGTATTGCATTGCATATATTATTACATTTTTTACATATATCTATAACAACTACCATATAACTATTAGTTTCTGGGTTTTGAGTTATTCCGTAAACTTTATGATGTATTGTGATCTACAATTAACAGTACATTGAGCAAAATACATTAATAAATATTAAAATATCCAGAATTTGATTAAATAATAAATTTATTATACTGACCTCTTTAATAGATTTCAATGTAACATTAATTGAATCATCCAAATTTTTCAGAATTACAAACATATTTTGATCCTTTCTTTTCCAATTTTCATTATAGTTCTCCCATTTATCTATATGTCCATCAATCCAATTTGCTCTATACATTCTGTCTTCTGCAGTATATCTCACATTACAAAATCTATCATAAGGTATCCATTCCAATGCTTTTCTTACATAATTAGTATGCTCTGATAGCTGAGTATCTTGAATGAATTTATCAATATTATTATTACCACTAGTCCAATTTTTAAAATTTCGTTTAAAACGTTTTGCATTGCATTCAATGCCTCTAAGATCGCAATCACATGATTTAGTTAATTTCTTAATAGATATAATTAAAGAATCCATTGACACTTTATTGGTCACTCAATGTTCGTTCTATAGTAGGTGAGTATTCAGGCCACAAGCAGGAAGACTCTATCTCTTAAGGAGTTGTAGGGTTATAGAAATTGGTCGTATTTAGTTGCTGATCTTTAGATTAGTTTCTTTTATCTTCCAGCTGTAATTTTATGTTGTTTTCCAGTTAAATAAATAAGTTGACACCTTATTTTACCTTTTATACTGTATTTAGTATTATTTGCAATAGTAAGAAGAAAAAGAAATTTTTTACTCCCGAATGGAATATGTACTGTATGAAGATCATTTTATATTAAAATAACTTTGTGTAATCATAATTTAATTTTACTGCATATGATGTAACTTAATGATCATTAATATTTCCTAATCTGGGCGAAGATCTGATCTCAATTCTGATTGGCTAATTTTTAATTGGCTAATTTTTTGAATTTTTCATTAAGCATACTTTTTTTACAAAACAATTTTATTTGAATTATTTAAATTCGTTTGATAAATACAACATTAAACTGTAAAGTTATGCACTTATAGGTTTTAAAAATAGTTTATTAGAAAATTTATTGATTGAAAATTCATTTAAAATCAAAATTTTAATTTTTAATGACTAGTAATAATGATATAAAAAGAAAAACCTGATAATAATACATGAATTATAACAATAAAAAATGAAGAAAATGTCTAACAAGTTGATTGAAATAACGGAATAAAAAAAATGATGAAAAGAATAACAGAAACAGAATGAGATGAATAACAAGAAAAATAAAAGAAATGAAAAGAATGGAAATAAAAGAACAATGAATAGTGAAAAGTTTAATAAAATAAAAAGTACCAAGTAAATAATGAAGCCCATAAAGATTTAAGGTAAACCCATGAAGATCCAAACAAATCAACAGCAAAGACCACAGAATTTAAGATCAAAAAAAAAAGTTTGGAGAATGAAAAATGAAATTCATAAAGTAAAAATAAAATAAAGTTAGTAAGAACAAAAAAACAAAGTGAAGAAAAAGAAAAGAAAGAAATATCTTTAACGCAAAATTGAAAGAACTTAAAGACACAAAAAACAAAAAAAGAAATTAGAAATGAAAAGCAAAATTAAAAACAAAGAAAGAAAAAACAGGGAACGTACCTTTAGCCAAATTTTATTTTCTCAAGTATAATACTATTAGACAAATTCTTAAACTAAAATAACATAAAAAAAGAAAAGGTACACCAAAGAAAATAAATAAGAAAAAAATGGGAAATGAAAGGAAATAAAAAGAAAAACGAGAAAAAGAAGGTAGGAAAGGCTGGCGGGTGAATAAATTTATCAATGGTACTAATCCATTAAGGAAGTGTGTAGTCACGTGATTTATAATAAGACTATCAATGGCGCAAAAATTTAAAATATGATTTAATTTGAATAATTATGTATTATTTTATTATTATTTGTAAAGACATGTGAAAACATACCTATAGAATACAAATATATTAAATTAATTAATGATAAAATGCCTTTTGTTAAAAAAATAATATTATGTTTTCCAGTAGAGAGATTCTAAACTTTCAATAAGCAATTCGCAACCTTTTTGGAACTTCTTTTGATATTTTCTCCAAAATATAATTCGTATTTCGTGTAACAACCGGACAAATTTGTTAGATAAAAATGGGGCAAAATTTGCCGATCTTCATAATAAAATTAAAAAATTGATTTTTTCGATGTAAATGCAACGTCACTTTATATAATTTTAATCGATACAAAACTTATGTCATTTTGTACATCAATACCTAAATCGTACGTCTAATGATTCTTTTAATAACTTTCAAAAAAAAAAAATTTTTTTTACTTGTATGCCAGTTGGATTCCAACACCAAAAATTTTACGTTTTCAAAAATTTTTCTACATACATGACTTATTTATTACAAATTTTGACTTATTTATATCTTAGACGCTTGAGCTACTATTGCTGACTCTTGGCGGTGTTGACTTGTATAACGAGATATCCAATTACGTATAGTCTCTAATTTTGGTACTTCTTCTTCTTCAATTACGCCGTCTTCCACATTTTTCTTTAGCCGGGCAAGCATACTTTCCGCCGTATGCCTTTCACTTTTATTAACATTACCCTCCAAAAAATATTCTTGCAGGAGATTCCACACTTTCTTAGAAATACGTTTACCACTCCCTTTTTTTCCATATTTTTGCGCAGATTTCAATGCCCACCCACAAGCTAATGGCCAAAACAAAAATTGCAAGCTATAATATCAAATACAGATGTAAGTTCATTATACCAGGTAACTATTTAGCTTTCAAATCATGTCATACCTTGGATCCAATATTACTTTATTTCTGTCTTTAGCTGAATTTTTTCTTTCGTCTGAATAGGGATCATGGTTTGATAAATTGTGTTATCTAAAACTGATAAAAAGTAACATATTACAAAAAGCAGTTAACAACGTGAAGATCACATTTTGCGTGCCTGGTATCTTTGCCAAGGTGTCTTTGGCCAATGCTATTTCTAACTCCTTTACCAAATCTCTTTTATTCGTATCTATATCCTTTAGAATGCCACGAATTTCCAGTTGTTCTTTCACGTGGTTTTTTTTTAGTTTCTTTACCTGAATTCCTATATTTGCATGTTGAATCAGTTGTTTCATCTGAAGATTATCATAAATAATCCTAACTGAATCAATTAATATCCATAAAACCTGTATCATTTGGCAATGGAACTGTCCAAGGATTTTTAGGTATTGAAGACGTTGATACATTGGGATCTGGTTTTTCGATTGTTTTTGATTGTAATTTTTCCAGTTTCTTTGGAGAAAAATTCGTCCAGGCGCCAAGATTTGCAATATCTCTCGCTTGAATATAACCAGCATACTCTCCAGTAATTGGCCATGACCATTCAAACCAATTTGAAATGCCAGGTAATTGGTTTCTCCTTTTTCCAGGTTCTGTAAAGAGACAGTTTGAGAATTTCTAATAATTTCTAATAAACCTAGCTGTATAATAATTCAACTTCTAATTTACAACCTTTTGTTCTAACTGGTTCCAGGCGAGATACTGACATTCTGCAAATTCCAGATATTGCATTTTCAATGTCTTTTCCTAATGATATATCAAATCCTAATTTTACATATCGATTGATGGAATGTGCAATCTATTTCAAACATAAAGTAAGCTAATATCATGTAGTTAATTCTTGCTAATAGATATTATTTATCAAATGGAAAGGTATGAACAAACCTGAGCATGATGACTATTAATGGTTATTTTCACCTCTTCCGGCTCAAGAAATATCCATTTTTTTGGCCAAATACCATACCAATCTTGCCAATATCTCAAAGTCATCATCAAATCTGCATTATGATAATAACCTCCATTGTTTAAAATAATCATAACCCATTCTGGTTTCTTTTTCATAGATTCAATAACAGCATGAGGATTAGAAGCAGTGAGGTTGTGTGCTTGGATATCAAGTTCAAGAGAATTTTCCTTGCGAGTATATACTAATACTGAATGAAGAGTCCAGCCTTTTTTTCCAAAAAACTGTTCTTTTATCTCTCGTGCACTTTTAGGTAATACCTTCATTTTATAATTCACGACAATAATTGTGTGTTCAGGTATACTTTTCGTGTTTGATAAGCAAGATAGTATAGGAGGTGTTTCTGATATTCATCTAATTCATTATGCAATGTAATTGGAGTATCATTTTTCAATTGATAAAAAATTGCAAATAATTATCCACATTCAATACATTTGTGACTGTGTGATTCTGTGCAGGTACCAAAGGCGTATAGGAGACAGTGGCTAATGCATGCATTATGGGCAACAGTTCCATTCATAACAATTTCAAGCTTTTGTTCATAAGACTTTTTAAGATATCAGCGCAGGTGCTCAAGTTTATTTATATAGTCTTTCTAGATTACCATTTGTAAAATAAATCAAAACAAATAAACCAACTTGTAATATATAAATAAAATAAATTGAAAAAATTTTTACTTGAAGATTATTGTTTTGAATATTTTTTTCAATAAAATTTTTCATTTCTACAAAATCTCATATTCAAATTGAACAAAGACCACCAAGATTTTCTTGATAAATATATTGTTTTTTTTGCAAGAACGTCATAAAAGATGTTCTTTTAACACCATCTGGAAATTGGTAGCTGAATTTTTCCCACAAAGATTCTTTTGTATATTTGAGATATTTTACTGGAAGCCCAGTTTTAGTTTCTGTTTTATAGCTACTCATTAT